TTCACATCTTTTTTTGGTATTTCTACAGATCTTGACTACAAGAGTAATTTGCAAAGTATTTTCAAAATAGTCACTTACATATGTCCAATTTGTTTTCATAGTGCTGACTTTCATGTATTTGACCATACGCAGGAATACTGAGTGCTTTCTCAGACAGCATACAGAGGCATAATTTTGGAGGTTAGCATCTCTGTCAATGGAAAATTTTACTCAACACATTTTTCACAGCTATAACCCAGTGTGTGAGAAATTTAGCATTTATACAATGCAAAAATTTGCAAGAAATCCTTCTCACATTAACTACTTACATGAAATGTTTCCCTGATTGCATTATTTCATTATTTGATGGCATTATTGTGCACTGAATGCTGTTCTCCATTGTTGGAATGCATAGGGTTACTTCCTAATATGAACTCTTTCATGTCATTATAATCACAGGTGGTGGACAAATTTGCTGCATTGCTTACATGCATACAGATTCTCCCCATTGTGAGTTCTTTCATGTGTTCATCAAGTACAAAACGAACTGAATGTTTTCCCAAGTTGCTTACCTACATAGGGTTTCTTCCCATTGTGGAATCTTTAATGCATTTACAAGCTATGGGCTTGGCTGGTAGATTTCCCACACAGCTTACATACTGAAGTTTTTTCTCTATGTGGGATCTTCTAGGTCTAGAAAATGCGGGTTATCAGCAGAGCTTTTAAATTATGACTTATATAAGTTTGCTCCTGTGTGAATTATTTTATGGACAAGATTACAATATTGATTGAAAGATTTTCCACATTATGCACCTATATAGGCTTTCTCCCTACTCAGAGTTCTATCATGTTTTTTATAACCTGTAATGAACTTTACTGCATAGATGACACCAAGTTTTTCACAGTCTTTACCAGTTGGATGTGTATAAATTATTTCATGTAAAAGGATCTTCACAAACACAGCAGCAGTGTCCTTCACAACAGCTCATGACATGCAACTATGCATGTATGCTTATGATAAGATAATCACAAAAGCAAAAGAAAATTTAAAATATGTATAAATGCATTAGTGCAGAGGATGTACTGAATGCTTCCCCACATTTGTTGCATACATAGGGTTTATCCCCTGTGTGAATTCTTTCATGTGTAATAAGGTCCCTATTTCGACTGAACATGTTGTGTACTGAACATATTTCTAAATATCTTGCATGATAAGATTCCTCCCTAATTTAATTTCATTCTTGTTTCTGACAGTGAATGTGTCTGCCTTTGCATTTGTGATGGTATATCTTAACATTAGGATGGCTACATGGATACAGGCCATGAATAGAAGCATAATTTGAATATGATTGTATAGACACTTCTTGGTAAACTGATACAAGAGTTACAGATTCTGATGGGAAAAATTGTCATGAGATAATTTGATGTCATCCATCAAAATAAGACATTGGTGGTTCAAAACATGGAAAAAATGATATAGCATACTTAAATTTTCATTAAAAAGTGCAACATCTTTATTAAGACTACAGACAGATAAAATATTTATGTGTAATTTATAAAACAAGACAAAAATATTTTAGGATAATTCTGTTTCAGGTTGTCTTCAAAAATGTATGAACATATATTGACAGAAATTATTTTATAATATTTTGGCAGGTCTCCTCTACATGACTAATTTTGAAATTATTTTCAAAATAGTCCCTTACATATGTATGATTTCACTTAACTAGGATTACTTTCACACTTTTGACAATAGCCATGTATACTGAGTGCTTTCCCACATTGCATACATAACCTCGGGACATAGTATGACATCACTCAGAAGGTTAGCAGCTGTCAGCTGAACTTTTACCAAATCTTCCTTACATACAGTTACTCCCCAGTGTGAGAGGAATCTTATGTTTGCAAAAGGGAAACACTGCAGCAAATCTTTGCCACACTGCCTACATACATAGGATATCTTCTTTGTGTGCAAAATTTCCCTATGGCATTTTTGTGTGCTACATATGATCTACAATTGTTCAAATGCATAGAATTATTACACCGAGGGAGTTCTTAAATGTAGTGGCAATCTCAATGGTTTGGAAAGTCTTCCTATATTCCTTATGTTCATGGGATTTTTTTCCCAGTGTGGGATATTTGATGTTGTATAGTGAGAATGTATAAACAAATCCATTTACTCATTTCTCATATAGATAGGGAATTTTTATAGAGTGAATTATTTTCTATACAAGAAAGCTACTATTATAGCTAAAATACATCACAAATTGCTTACATCAATGGAAAGGGTTTATTTTCAGCACTTCTGCATACTGTCTGTTTTGGCATATTGTTTGTACCATAGATGTTCTATCCAGTGTGAGTCCTTTCGTGAATAATAAGGTGACTGCTTTGACAGAAAGATTTCCCACATTGCTCACATACAAAGGGTTTCTCCCCAATGTGAGTTCTATCATGTGCTTTACGAGCAGAGGATGTACTGAATGCTTTCCCACATTTGTTGCATACATAGGGTTTATCCCCTGTGTGAATTCTTTCATGTTTAATAAGGTCACTATTTCGACTGAAAGATTTACCACATTGCTTACATACAAAGGGTTTCTCCCCAGAGTGAATTCTGTCATGTACTTTACAAGCATAGGCTGTACTGAATGCTTTCCCACATTTGTTGCATACATAGGGTTTATCCCCTGTGTGAATTCTTTCATGCTTAATAAGGTCACTATTTCAACTGAAAGATTTACCACATTGCTTACATACAAAGGGTTTCTCCCCAGAGTGAATTCTGTCATGTACTTTACAAGCATAGGCTGTACTGAATGCTTTCAATAATTTGTTGCATACATAGGGTTTATCCCCTGTGTGAATTCTTTCATGTTTAATAAGGTCACTATTTCGACTGAAAGATTTCCCACATGGCTTACATACAAAGGGTTTTTCCCCAGTGTGAATTCTATCATGTGCTTTACAAGCAGATGCGTGACTGAATGCTTTCCCACATTTGTTGCATACATAAGGTTTATCCCCTGTGTGAATTCTTTCATGTATAATAAGGGTAGACTTTTGATTGAATGCTATCCCACATTGGTTGCATACATAAGGTTTATCCCCTGTGTGAATTTTTTCATGTCTAATAAGGATAGACTTTTGATTGAATGCTTTCCCACATTTGTTGCATGCAAAGGGTTTCTCCCCGGTGTGAATTATTTCATGTTTAATAAGGTCACGATTTTGACTGAAAGATTTCCCACATTGCTTGCATACAAAGGGTTTCTCCCCCGTGTGAATTCTATCATGTACTTTACAAGCAGAGGCTGTAATGAATGCTTTCCCACATTTGTTGCATGCAAAGGGTTTCTCCCCAGTGTGAATATTTTTATTACTTTGACAGCCACTGAATTTACTGAATGCTGTCCCACATTGCTTGCATTCATATGTTTGCTTTCCAGTGTGAAGTTTCTTATGTTTTTTAAAGATATTACTGTAAGACAATGCTTTTGCACATTTTTCAGTTATATGATGTTTCTCTATAGCATGTTTTCTAACAGGTTTTTCAATATTGGATGAAGAAATAGAATTATTCTCATAGTGTTTTTGTACATACGAGTTTCCCGAACTGTGGTTTGTCTTGGGGGTTTGAACACTGTTAGGTGTTGTTTGGGCTTTGACACTTTTGTTACCTACAAAAATTTTCAGCCCAGAGTGGGTTTTTTCACTAAGATCAGATCTCTCCTCCTCATATTGCCCATATTCACAGCGTTTCTCTACAGTCTTCCTCATTTCATGCTTCCAAAAGGACTGGAAATCACTGCAGGTCTCTACATCTTCATTACATTTATATTGCTCCTCTTCAATTCTCAAATAATTGTCTTCAACACATCTGTGAAGAAATACAAAAAAAGATATCAATCTCAATGGAAAAGGCTCCATATTAGCAATAATTTTTATGATGTCAAATTTAGTTTTATTCCTGCTAAGTAATTCTGATTGGTTAACTGACTCACTGCCCCGCAGGACTTCTTTCAAAATACTATTCATTCTAAACATTTTTACTGGTTTTTTTTTTTTTTTTTTTTGGTACCAGGCATTGAACTCACAACTGCATGCTTGCAAGGCAGACACTTATGCCCCTGAGATAAATCCCCTGCTCCATTTAGGCAATTTTAAATTGTTATGTGATTCTAATACTTAATATCATTTTAGGAGACTGGTACAAATGAATAGCAAACATTGATCATTTATTTAGCTCTTCGTGTCTTAATCTCCCCTTTGTCTATTTAGCCTGATCATCTTTCTCATCTACATAACATAAGGATTTCTGGTAATATATTATCTCTCTTTACTTTCACTTCTCAAATAAGGTTTTAATTTCTCATTTAAGAAAAAACCTGAGTTGTGGCCAGCTATTTAGCTCAGAAGCCTAAGGACCTGCCTGGCAAGCATGAGATTGTGAATTCATTTCTCTGTACCAAAAGAGAGAGAGAGAGAGAGAGAGAGAGAGAGAGAGAGAGAGAGAGAGAGAGAGACAGAGAGACACCTGTGATATTTCCATTTCTATGTCTGAATTACTTCACTTAAGGTCCAATACTTCTTGTTTCTTGGGAAATGATATCATGGTTCTCTTTAAAGCTTTTTTTTCAACATGGAGTAAAACACAGGTCACAGAATGAACTACATTTGCTGATCTATTATTTGTTTTGTTGAGAGAGATTTTTATTGACCATCAACTTGCCCAAGCTGAGCTTCAAGTTATCATACTGCTGATTCAGCTTCCCCAGCTGCTTGGATTTCAGGAATGCACCACCGTGATGAGCTGACTTCATGTTTTCTTTACCTTGGCATCCAGTGATGGGCATCTGGGCTCTTCTCAATGCTTAGCTACTGTGAGTTGATTCTTGTATTGGATATTGTAAATGCCCTTTCATGTGCTTTAACAAACAACACACTCGTACATCACTAACATTTGATGATTTTAATGTATTTGACAATATACTGAGAGAATCATTACACATAATGACACAGTACAACCCGTTCAACAGTCAGGAGGTAGAGGCAGGAGGATTGCTCTGAGGTTCAGGCCATTATGGGCTTCACAGTAAGTTCAAAGTCAACCTGAACTACAGTATAAAATCATGGCTCACAAGATTTAAAAAAGGATATCATTGTGGATGTACATGTGAAACAATATCAAATATGTTGTTTTAATTTTCAGACCACTGAATATTTATTACCATGTTTGTATTTTATGTGTCCATCAACAATGTATGAGGAATTTTAAACATGAACAGCTCAATATTCTATAGGATATTTTCAGAATACTTATTGTAACAGTAGAATTCATTTTCATTTTGAATGCTAATGCTATGTGAAAATAATTCTATTTTTTTTTTTTTGTCTTTTTCGTTTTTTATCAGTACCGGGGATCGAACTCACGACTGCCTGCTTGGAAGGCAGGCGCTTATATCACTGAGCTAAATCCCCAGCCCTATGAAAATAATTCTAGATCATGAAAATCTCAGTATTCACATGTATACATAAATGGTATTTTGAAGATGGGTTTTTATCAACTTTCACAATCTGTTCATTTCCTACATATCAGAATACAATATTTAAATTTATTGTCATACATTTATATGATGTTGATCATGAAGGCAATTTTTAAACTGATACATTAGATAGTGTTATTTACTATATAGCATTAGAATTACCTCTGATTCTTATATTTCAGTATGTTTCTATGGATTCCCAGATAATACAAAATAAAATCAAGTATATCTCTTGGTATTTTTCTGAAGTTAAATAAAGTGTAACATGATTTCATTTCTTCAAGTTCTTTGTTGTAATATTTATGTCACACACTGACAATTAAGTAATGTCCTCTTTCTCTTATGTTTCAGTCACCTTATATTACTTGAGCAATTTTTGTCCTCTTCCTTAATTTGCTGATTATTCCATATTCTTCCTGTAATATGGACATAGAAATAAAATACAATTACTATAACTGTGCATTAAAATATCAGTGATTTCATTTACACACATAGTATAGTATAATCAGACTTGAGATACTCAAGCAAATGTTATTATTATCAAATATATTAAACTGTATCAATGAGCAATAATTAATGCTGTTAGTATAAATAAACATGTCATCCTTACTTGTTGCAATAATATATATATATATGTTTCCCACATCACTCTTCTGTAGAGCTTCTTTTGGGATGGAGTCAGCAAGTCACACTCTGCTGGGGTGAATTTCACAGCTACATCCTCAATGGTCACTGTCTCCTAAATAATGACAAGGGTCCTGAAGTTCAGTCACACACGACCTGATATATCTCAGTTCCTGTCATAAATAATCTAGCTGAAATTCATTCCTTCAAGTATTAACTGCATGTCATGGTCATCAAAACTCAAGTACATTCAAACATAGGCACCCAGTAACACTGATGCTAGACTATGACACACTGCCAAAGCAATCACAGAACTGTAGCATGGCTTATCCTGCAGGGCCACCAATAGTGTAGTTTTTCACTTACTTTAAAGCAGAGCTCAAAGAGTGAGCATGCAAACCACCATTCACAAAATATTGGTTATTCATAACACTAAGTTTGTCTTTCTTATCAATAGCATTGTGGTCTTGAATCTAGATTTATAGATAAATATTTAGTTGAATATGAAAAGAGACTTCTGAATGATTAAAATTTAATGACAGAAAAGTTGTATTTGACCATTCTATAGACAAGTAAATAAGGGAAATATACTTATAAATCTATAGCTCGGGGATACTAAATTATCTCCTTGTACTTATATACTGGAAATTCCACTAGGGTGCAACGGAAGATAATGTGGGAAAAAAAAACATATATGAAATTCTTGAATTGTAGTGAAAATTGAGGAATAGCAAAGTAACTGGTCACTAAATACAGAAGGAAGAGTTCAGTACAGTGGAGTAGTATATGCTTGTACTCTCAGAACTTGAAATTGTGATGTAAGAGGGGTACCAGAAATTTCATGTTTGCCATGCATACAGTGTCCAGCCTGGGCTATGTAATAAGGACAGTTCAGACTACAAAGTGAGGCCATTCATCAAACTCCCATACCAAATGAAAATTAAAATTAATTCACAGTCATTGACAAATCACAACTTTGCACCCAGGATATATCTCAATGCTAAAAGCACCTGTCTGACATTTGTAAGGGCCTGAGTATACTTTCCAGTACCAAAAAGAGAATTCAAGTGCACCTTTGATTAGTTTCAACAACTGTAGACGTAAGTTAGAGAAAAAAAGCCTGCAAACATTGAATATTTGTGTGCAAGCAAACATTTTGCTTAATAAACAGGAAAACATTTGACATTCAACATTCATATCAGTGGACAAATGGATCTCAGGAAAGGAAAACAACCTTCAATTCATCCACATGGAAGTAGAATATTATGTCACAATTCAGCTGGCATTGTGCTTCTAGGCAAGAAAGCACAATATGTTTCATTTACATTCAGAAAGAAACAGGTATGTCCTAGAAATCTGGCCTGCAAACTATCGTTGCCTATGTGCATTGGTGAATTATTGAAATGGGAAAGAGAAACATGAATTACTGTGCAATTTATACTGAAAAACACTCAGTGCAAAACTCTTCTGAAGAAAATCAAGCAGCCATGAAAATTAGAAGAATTTGAAATCTATGAAAATTGGAATTAAGCAAGAAAACATTTATTGGGAACACAATACAAAGATTTTACATAGAGTTATGATCAATGAGCAAAAATCTAAAAGTAAACAAAATTTATGTGACCCAGCAGAAATAATGAATAGAAAAGAAAATCTAACTCACATTTGTGAAAATAACCAAACAATATTGAAGTGTGGAAGAAAAAATATTTAGATTTATTCTTAAATTCCACAAACTCCTTTTCTATGGAGTTTATGAAAATCTACACACAAGTGAATTCTTTCTAATGTCTACAAAATATTTTGTTCTATGATTCCTTGATATACACGTGATTCTTTTCAAGTGAAATTACAGACTCAGAAACTGTGACAAGAGAATAAATGAGGGGGGCTGAGAAATTGGTGGCTTGCTAGGGGATCGGGTGGAGAGTCTCTCTGGAGAAATCATATTAGAAGCTAGAATATGACAACATGGAGAGGCCAGACAAATGGGTAACAATTCTGATTAACCAAGACAGCACACCTGGAGGATTTAATGTCGTGCTGAGACTGTGAAGGCTGATAATGGGAGGCTGCAAATCCCATGTCTTTAAATCAGCGAACTGACCCATGGACCCAACAGGAAAAGCTGTGTTGGCTTTTGGTCACTGCTGGAAACTGAGACCTGGGAACCTGAGAAGCAGCCAGGACTGCCCCTCTGCACCAGAGGAGATTGTAAAAGGTTCTGGAGCTCCGGAGCAGAATGCTGTGCAGTTTTCTGACCATTCCTCACTGTGCCGGGAGCGCGGGGAGGGTGGGTGGCATGGTGTGCGGTGGACCCGGGAGGAGGACCTGCACTGAACCCTGGTGAGTACTGGGGACCCCGCAGCTGCTGGGGTTGGCCAGAGAACATCTTGGAACTGGGCAGTGCCCGCCACCACGGGGACATCAATAACACAGAGAGTCTGGCAGCAGACATCTTAGAGTTGGGCAGAACCTACAGCTCGGTGACATCACCGAGTCCCCTGTAGGGAGGTCTGGTGGAAGACATATTGAAATTGGGCAGAGCCTGACGCCGTGCTGGCTTCAGCGTCATACAGAGAACTAGTGGTAGACATCTTGGATTTGGGCAGACCTGCTCTCCTGGTGCTCCTGTCACAGAGAGGTCTGGAAGAGAACAGCTGGGATTTGGGCAGAAACCTGTGTCATAGTGACATTAGTCAGCTGCTTCTGGTACAGGGAGAACTGGCAGAAGCTACTGGGGCTAAGCTAAGCCTCTACTTGGGGCCCAATAAGCAGATACAAAATAGTCACAACTCAGTGACATCCAGAAAGTACAGCCTAATTTACGGATTGACTGGCACAGAGGCTGGAGGCTAGCCTGTACCGCCCCTGCATCCCATCCTACCCCAAATAACAGCAAATTGGGGAGGACAGCAAAAACTCAAGCCAGCATGCTTCTGAAAGGCCCTAAGCAATACAGAGAGTGCCAGGGACCCCCAGGACACTCCAGTCTGAAAGAAACCAGAAACATGACAAGAGATAAAAAAAAAATCTCCAGCTGCCCAACATGAGAAAATAAACCCAGGAGAAGTAAACACTGAAGAGAACAAGCACAGTAACCATCCAATACTGGAAACAGCATCAGCCGAAATTAAAAAATACCTTCATGACCTCATAGATTTATTTAAAGCTGTACTCCTGATCCAAGTGAGGCAAGATATAAAGAGATTAATTAAAGAAATGACAAGCCCCACCCAAGAGAACACAGATGGAAGAACTGAGGAAATCAGAAAAGAAAGAGAAACTTCTGAAGAAGAATTTAAACAAAACTTAGAATACATGAAACAGATCCAAAGAGAATACCAGGAAACTAAAAACTCCATTGAACACCAGCAAAATATCCTGACAGAAACTAAAGCCAGCCTTCTGAATCTTGAAGAGAGATTTATGACATTTCATTGTGAAAGAAAAAATACCAAGGAACCAGAAAGAAACAATTCAAAGGCTAGAAGATGACAAAAAGATACATAACTTAAGATTAAAGAATGTGAGTGAGGAAGCAGGAGCAACCAAAAATGAAATACAAAGAATATCCACAGATATATTAAAGCAAAATTTCCCATGTATAGCAAAAAGAAATGATATCCAGATAAAAGAGGCATATAGAACGCCACCTACCTACAACAAAAACAGATCTATGCCTAGACATATAATAATCAAGATTCCAGAAATTCACCAAAAGAACAGAATATTAAAAGCAGCCAGAGAAAAGATGCAGATTACCTACAACAGGAAAATTATTAAAATAACAGCAGACTTATCCACACAAACTCTTAAGTCAAGAAGGGAGTGGGGAGAAATATTCCAAGTCCTGAAAGAAAATAATATGCAACGAACGCTCATATACCCATCAAAATTCTCTCTCAAAATTAATGGAGAAATAAGGTGCTTCCAAGACAAGGAGGAACTGTGGGAGTTCGTGGCCACCCATCCAACCCTACAGAGAGTGCTGAAGGACATTACAGAGAAAGAGAGGAAGGGATACCAGGATTCCAGCAACAGTGGCAGAGAGGCCTCAATGAATGAGGCAGACAGTGGAATGAGGGAATAAAGTGGACAAATTATAGCAGAAAAGTGGAGTAGCAGACATGAGTCAGAGACTTTAAGCTATAGCCTTTAAGATAGACAGCTCTGAAACACTATTTAAAAAAGGCAGAGGTCATTGTTAATGGTGTATAAGGATTTAAAAGACACAGTAGTTTTATCACCATATTTAGTTTGAATTTAATTTGTTCTGGTCTGTCCACTCATGTCAGATTTGATGGCACAGACATCCTGACCTAAAAATAGCAGGTTATACTATGGTAACTATCCTTACTTTCCTATTAACTTAAATTGAAATCCTGTATTACTTACATTGTCTTACTATGACTGATCTTAATTTAATCCAATTCATAAGACCATGGGTTTGCCTTGGCTTATTTTATTTGAATTTGGTATGCTTGTTAGTATCAATCCTAAAAGTAGAGGCAACTACTCTGAAGATGACAAGATGTAAAGGATATCCATACTGGTATTAATTATTAGCAGCCCTCAAATCCTACAATGCTTTCAAAGTTAAGTTTTTATAAAAATAGGTAATACTATGTTTAACTATAATATGCCGCTGTTGTGGACAATTGTATTGAAAATAACAAGAGAAAACATAGTAACTATGGAAGATCATTTATATTGTGGTCTTATATGTCTTATCCATTGCATGCTTTTTCTAGGAAATTGTTTTTCTATCTTGCTACGACTTGGTTTTCCCTATAATACAGAGAGGATAGATATATATGTAGAAATTCACACATGAATTTTTTTAATTATTTATGGGAACAGATTATATAATGCAAGATGTAATGAACAGATACTCTGAGGAAGAGATGCTAAGAAACCCGAGGCTAATCTTGTAGCATTATGATATAAATTCTAGAATTACTATTGTTCACTGATTAGAATGACTTTGGACTGGTTTCTTGAGTTCAATTTCAGCATATGTAGAGATGGGGACAGCTATCACAAAGAGAATGAGAGATGTGATGGTGGTTATTATTGTCTTCCCTAATGTTAGATCTTGAAGACCTACAAAGC